TTTAATTTCCTAGTTTTTTGTGTAGAATCAGAACATTGTTCAATTTTTTGTTGTTTTTGAGGTTTAATACATCTAAAAATATTTCCCTGGTTGGTATTTACAACTTGTAAATTACAAGACACTCTGTACATTATTATAATTGGAGTGAAAAACTTCGGCCAAGAAAATCAGAACACTATTTTTACTAAGCACAAAAAAATTACTTATATATAGGCGTAGAGAAGAAAATATGTTTGCCCATCAGTAAGCGAAAATAGTACAAATTTTGATAAAATTGATACTGAATGTTTTTTTCACTAACGCAGTTTTGATTTATGAGAATATGATATTATATTGTGATATAATACAATATGATATATGATATATAAGTATTTGATGAAATTTATATGGGAATAGCTTTATAAAAATCATATTATCGCAGGTGAAATGCAATAGATACAATAGATTTAAATATGGAAATAAACACGGAACCAATTTTTTACTTGATGTCCAAAACGTAAAACGTGAGTGGTAAATTTTCAATCCTGAACAAAAAAATATTTTTTAAACTTCCGAGACACACACAGCTTTCCTACCTTCGGTAAGGAGGAAGACAAACTGAAACCACATGTTTGCTAATTTATTAAATACCAGAAGTGATTAATTGTCCTGCTATTTTTACCTTGGATAGTGTTTCGAATTCCTGCAATGTTGGTAAACATTTGTGTGTTCAGTTTCAACAAAATGACTTGCTGTTGAGCTTGCCAATATCCTATGAACTTCTACTTTCTTATTTATTTAAAGACATTTTTATTTCTAAATAAATTGTTTAAAAAATGTTTGTCCTTGTTATTCTTGTTGACGTGAACGCTAACTTTCCAATTCTGACCTTAAAAAGTGCTTGTGCTTGCTATCTGATTAAGCATTCGTAAATAAATAATAATGTATTTAGCTGGTAAAAAATATTATAAAATTTCTTTACCGAAAATTCTAAAAGTTTTATGAATTCTAGTTATATAAATAAAGTTTATTTAACAACAATTAAACGTTGGTCCGACCAATGCACTGGTCGGTGCCAACAATATAGTCTTCATAAAATTAAAGGAATTTCTTTAAAATATTTTTGAAGTAGTTAAGTATTTTAGAGGCTGGTGGAATTTTTGCAGTTGAAAAAAAAATCAGAATTATATACATCATAAAATAAAATATAATTTAATATGTATAGTCTAAAAGAGAGATAAAATATAATTTTTAAAAAAATATATAAATAATTGTTATGTAGAGTAAATACTTTTTTTTATGGTTTTATTGAATATTAATACAGTCTCCCCTACTGAAGGGCATTTGTACTATTGCTATAGTATTCATTCACACAATATGTACATAAGGAAGGATAATAAATATAAATAACCAGAGTAGAAAAAATATATTTATAAAAAGATACAGTAATATACAAGATCAATAAAATAACAGATTAAAGTCGAATGATAATAAAATAAATAAAACACATTCACACCCACGTACAATAAGATTTGATTACTAGAGAAAAATATGAGCAAAGAAGAAGATGAAGCTTAAAACAAAATATAACATTAATGATATTTTGTTGGCAAATATGTCCTTTCAGTTTTTCTGTTTATTTTTATGTCATTATGATACACTTCTTATCTGATGAATTAATCCCTAAGGTAGATTGTTTATCCTGTTTGTAATATGTCGACAATTATATCTGTTAATTCTTGTTGAAATTAGCGTAGTATTGTGTTTGGTATTGTACTGTGAATATGGGAGGAAATATTATAAATTTTCGGTATATTTTGTCGTATTATTTTAAAACGGTTAGCGTGCTGCAGAAGTTTATAGAAAAATTTAGTGTGTTTATGGGATGATTCCATAACGAATGTACCTATCAAAATTGGTTTGCCGAATTTCATTCAGAAAATGTTGAAATCAATGATCCTCAACAGTCTAGTCGCCCACATGGAATTGAAACGAGCAATGTTAAGCCCACTGTTGATCAAAATCCCACAAAATCAGCTCGAGAGATTGCTATGGCATCTCGCACACACGCGTAGAAAACCATTTGCACAAGCTCGGCTATGTTTCTAGATTTAATGTTTGGGTCCCTCACATAATTTTTTTTTTAATTTACAAAAAATGTTAACTTTAATAAGACTTTAACTATATACAAGAAATTAAGGAATTTAGGGCCACATAAAGTACACAAAATGCCATCATCAGGATCTTGGTAAACAAACTACTAATGGAGATAAAACATAAAAACCTATAAGGAATTTTTGTTTATTTATTCCTTATGTAGGCATATAATCAAAAAAACGTTCAGACGGCTTTGAAGAGCAACAATTTAGCTTTCCATAGGATATAGCAACATCAAACTTGGAGAACATCCTGAAGAGTTATGAATGATCGGAAGGGTATTGTGTTCCACCAAGACAACGCTAGGCCCAACACCTCATATGGTCACACGTAATAAATTATTGAGCCTTAGATTGTACCTTTTGCCCCACCCTCCTTATTCGCCAGAGCTAGCTCCAAGTGACTACTACTTATTCCGGTTTCTGCAGAACTTTACAAATGGAAAAAAATTCAAAAAGGAAGAGGACATTAGAAGATACTTGTATCAATTTTTTAACAATAAACTCCAGGCATTATATGATCAAGGCATTACGAGGTTATGGAAAGATGAAAAAAATAATGGTCAATATTTTGTAGATTAAAATAAATTTTATGTCTATAATAATACATTGAGTTTTATTTCACAATGAAAAACCGAAAGGACTTATTTGCCAACCTAATACATAAGAAAATACTGCACTATGCATGCAGTACATTTCTCTACATATTATATTTGGTTATTTTCTTTTTTTAATGAAAGAATATGTATACATTTAAGTATATTTTTTTATATTTAAACTAGATAAGGTTGTGGAATTTCAACTCATTTTGAGAAACTCTGTTTCTTCCTGGTTTATTCTTGATAAAGTTTAAAATTGTATGTGTTTTATTTTAAACATGTCTTATTTATTTAACAAATTATTACTTTAAATAAATCGATAAAAAAATTATCGAGAAACAACGGAATAGCATGATCATTAGACATAGTTGGAATAGAGAAGGGTAAACTATACAAAAATAACTAGGATGTAATATTTTAAAGTTATTCTGATTTAGGTTGAACTAAATTATCGAATTATTTTAAGATTGATGAGTTTATGTGACACAATATAGTGAAAATTCAACATCAACGAACTTTATTGTACATTGTATAATTATAATAAACTATACTATACATCTTATAAATTATATATAATATAACTATTGTTCCGGTAAGCGATTTCTTCCGAACCGCTAACATAAATATTGTAATAAAATAAATTATAAATTCAAATTTAACAAATCTTAATCATACGAATTCTTATAAACCTGTATTGGCTTCCGACTGAGAGTCAAGGAGCAGTTCCTCAATGTTCAAAAACCTGTTATCAGCTAATTGATACCTCTTCGAAACCTTTAATGAGGAAATCGTTATCGAAACTATTATGGAAATGGGGTTGACATTTTGTTGTTCATATTTTCTTCGGAATAGGATGACTATTTTATCGGAAATGGGTTTTTGTAACATTGATTTTTAAACTCCTTGTATGAATCACCTTCATAACCTTTTGTTATTAAATTTAATATTATTGTTCTAAAGAATAGAGCATCTCTTAGTTAAAAAAATGTGAGATATTCTATTTGTTTGATAAATAATGGTAATAATTTCTTCTAAATGCTCAATGATAGCTTGCAGATTTAAAGTAAAGAAATATATTTATATTTGATTTTCCAACCGTCCTTTCCCTATAAAAAATTTCACAATTTATCCTGACATCATTTATTAAATTAAGATGTCATTTTTTTACATGTGCTCTTGAAACGTGAAACAAATAGTTTATTTCTTAATATGTAATAATTGTTATTTTACATAATTGAATAATCAAATAATCATAAATTGAATTATGGTTGCATTCACTTTATTTAAGATAAAATAATATATGCAATTGTTATGTATAAAAATATTTTCACATCTTATTTCAATTAAATTTTGCAAAGATATAAATCTTCGATGTACTTCTTTGAGGAAAATGTCTTTTATTCTTTAACATTTGCTGTAATAACAAATAATAATAAAAGTAACATATTTTTTAATTTTATTAATATATTACTTTGTACTTTAATGCATTCAGAAAATATTTATTATGAATTATAATTTTCAATTTTTTTTTCCTCTTTATTGCTTGTTTCACCTCTGTCACTAACTATGAGTGTCTGTTATGGAAAAATAAGCATGGAAAAGATACTCTGCTCTATCTTTTTCTAGCAAAGATTCATTTCATTAATCTAGGATGTATATATTGTAAACAGGTATGACTGTGTTTTTATGTTTTTAATTTACTTATATTTAGGTTATTTTATTTTTTATTGTACATGGTTTTTATATATTATTATTTAGTTATTATTTTACTTTTGTGAATTTTATATTTTTTGTATATATGTTGTGAATCTGTTCATTTATCACTATAATTATTGTCCTCGAGACAAAATATTATATTTCTAAATAAATTTTTAAAAAAATCTAGAAGAGATTTGTCTTCAGTCTTCGTTCAGAATTTTCTTGAAATACTAAAACATTCAGAGACTCATGGTAAACAGTAATGAGAAGAGTCGAGAATCAAACGGTTTTTTTAAAACTTAGATCGCACATAGCAATTTAAATGCATTGAACGTTTATAAAAATACTGAAGGATTGAAGAAAAAACAGTTCCATTCACATATTTTTCTTCACTATGAAGAAACTTACACTTACTACCATTGAAGTCTCCAAACATTGGTTCTTTTTTTTAATTACTTACACGTACTTCCAAGTATATTAAAATTAAAGAGACTTTAACTCTGACTAACCATTAACGGAAGATATCCTTTGGAGTAGTGGTAGTGGTCAGCAGGAGTTGGAAGGGAAGGCCAACTTCGAGGAGGGGCCAGTCAGCCAAGAGATCTTGTTCCGTTCGGGCTGTGACCACTTTAGTACTGGTCAGTATATATATCTATATTTATTTATGTATTATGTTATTGTAATATATATTTAAAATTATAATCTAAGTAATTGCGTCGGTATAAGCATACATGTGGGTCAATTACAATATTTATGCATTTGGACAACTTAAATTTACTCAAACTGAAAAACTATTAATTGGTATAGCGTTGCCACTATGAAAAGAGAATATAATTAAGTTCCTCTTAGATGAATATTTTGGTGTGAAAATGAGGGTAATTCAGGACACAACGCAATAATATTAGCGAAAAATGACAGCTATTGGTTAAGAATTTAATAAGAATATTGATAACATAAATAAGACATTATAACAAAAAAAAAAAAATGAGCACACTTAACAATTACAATATATATGTATATAGCTTTTCAAAATAATTAAAAAAATTTATTGTAAACTTATAGCTGTCTATATAAAAATAATAAAGTTCAAAAAATGGTATGGAATGTAATAACCAGAGACTGTATATATTAATTAATTAATAATAAAATATATGATTAGCAAATATTATTAATTTATGTAAGTACTTCTGACTAATATAAGCTATGTATTAAAAAAAATCATAAACTGATAGTATGATATAATTATGTAACAAATAGATCTATTATAATATAATTTAATTATGTATGTAACTCTTGTGTTCCAAAACACATTCAAAATATTATTAATTATTAATAAATAAGTATATTTGTATTAAACATATAATATATTACTACTTTAATTTAATTATTATATATTGCTAAATTGAATTAAATTAATTCTTAGATTCTTTAAGTGAAATTTAGTTTTATAATATTCTTTCTAATTGAACTAGAACGATTAAATTTCAATACACAAATTTGCACTATATTTCATCTTTTTATATACACTTTTTTTTTTAATTTTATCATATGTTTAGGTGATTTAATAACTAATTATCGTTTTGCTATTTGCTTTGCTTGTAGATTAACACTCATCTACATGAATTACATAAATATAGTTTTTATTATTATTATTGTAAATTTACCTAAATAATAATATTATATAATTTTATAAAATTATAACTATTGTTGACATTGTATAATGTATAATATTTATCAAATTTTATTTAATTACGAACCGAATTTTTATTTTAATCTTTCGGTTCTAACCATGCCTACCATGAAGGTCGTTTTCTTCAACATTCAGTTATAATTTTTTACTTAAATTGTACTTTTTTTTTTTACTAATAGCGTCTGATTAAATACTTTTAAGTTAGAAAAAAAGGAGTGATAATTCTGTATGACAAGTATCACTGTGATTTTGGAAACGCAAATACGGAAATTATAAAAAGAGAAAACAACGCCCTATATAACTTACTTATTTATTTATACTGGAGTGGTTGTTAAATAAAATTAAAAATAAATACTAAAATTTTATTTTAAATATTAAATAACCTGAATCACTATGTCATACATAAATTATGTTGAACAGAAAATTTATTCTAATGCAATACATATTGAACGTAAAATATGTTTTATAGACAATTTATTTGATCCATACTCTCCATGCAAGTATCCAAATAGTTATTCTATTTTTAGATTATTGGTTAACATATACTATATAAAAAAAACTAACTTCAATTATTTGTTTAAATATTTAATTACAGCAATTTATTTTTAATTGTTATTTTTCTATTTATTTATTTTAACATTTAACCTAACAAATTTTATATATTAGAGATTAGCTGGGAGTATGCTTGATTATGTTCATTATATTTTAAAAAGGAATATTTCTAATAATAAAAAGACACATTAGAACACAACAATCCTAATTTATTTTTTATCTATATCTAAAAACGTTTCAGCCCTCAGGGAATTTTCAGGGAAGAAAGTTGTTTTAAAATATAAATAAAAAAAATATATAATGTCCTTATCACAATAAATTAATAGTCTAACACTAGAAGAGTAGTATCAAGTAATTGTGACAAGTTCAATTCAGCCTATAAGAATTCATTTTAATTTTAAAATAGGTTTCATTTCTTAAAAATTCACTGAGGGTTGAAACGTTGGATATAAAAAAAAATAAAGTAGGGCTATTTGAATCTAATGCGGATTTTTATTATGATAAATAAGTGCAGCCTTAATTAACAAGTATGAAATATACATATATATATATATATATATATATATATATATATATATATATATATATATATCTTTAAAAGATGATGATTTCGTTTTCATTTAAATCCAGTTTTAACACAATAGCTACTCCATATTGTACGATTTACACTCCTAAATTAAACAACATGGGCATATCGCTAGAAACGTATCGATAGAATTCGGAAACGACTGTAATCGATCCGATTAAATAATATTATTTTTTAGTAGCGTACATTTAATAATAGAAATATAATATTTTTTATACAATTTTCTTTATATAAGTATACATCCTTTTATTTACTCTTGATTTTTTATATAATTTATTTTTATTTAATTAGTTTTGTTGCATTTCTTTTTTCGTTTATTTCTTTATTTAGAATAGTTTCTTTATTTACATAGTTTCTTTATATATTTTTTTTATCTTACCAAGTTAATATTTTTATATTACTTTTATCACAATAGGGTAGCAGCCAACCAATTAGGTACTGCATATTACATAGTTCATTTGATTTACAATGATGATAATTCACACATTAAGTACACTAGGTTCAACGATTCTAACGGTCTTTAGTAGGTCGGGTCAGTAAGAGGCATTGCTGGGAACTAGTTGGCCGGACCTGTTACTTGGTACTGATTTTAAGACGCATATAATTGTACTCGTTACTTTTCGGTGTAAATATTATTTTTTTTTCTCTCTCTTCAGTATGATCGTAATTATTTCTTTTGTTTAAAGTTTCGGGCTCTTCGCCAATCCTCAGAGACAATTTCAAACCTGCTTATGGTATTCCGTCCATTGTTAGACAATGTAGAATATCCAACCAAGAATTTATGTATTTACTTAAATGTATTGGAATATAAAAAGAAATGTTTCCTGACAAACTGTATAATGATATAAGATGGATGAAAGACTATTAGCAGTTTTATAATAGTTTTTGAGGAAGAATAAAAAGCCTGAAACATTAGACCAAAGAAATAAATACGATTATACGGAAGAGAAAAAAAATCATAATATTTATACCTAAAACATATAAAACTTTCCTTTGCTATATAATTTTAAATATCAAATAAAATATAAAGAATGTATTCGTTATTTTTTGATCCAATAGATAATAATTTTTCACCTTTTTTAAAGAAGTGGAGAAATATTTACAATAAATTTCTGGATTAATTGTGAATGTATGGATTTTAATTATTTATTTTATTAAATAAATGCTACTTTAAATGAGAAATAATCAGTAAATGAATTTTTATTACAAGTATAATTTTTCTTTGGAAAATTATATATAATTTATATTTCCCTTGTTTAAAAATTCAGGTACAATCAAAGTTTACTAATTTCTTTTTACTTTTTGAAGAAATTAATTGCTTCAACCGATTTTTTAATTTAAATGTTTCCATTCTAAATGAACAGGAAAACATTCTAAAATAAAACTTTCGGTAAAATGGAGACTAATTTAAAACAAACATTAACATTTCGATTTTGCTTTTCGTATACGGTAGATAATTCACAGTATTTGGTGTGGAGTGTTAATTTTTTGATATTCTGTTATGTTGTATGATTAATATAACATACATTTGAAGAACATAGTGAATTAAAGTGGAGAACTATATTTATCATATTGTCGCTGGAATTTTCCTATTCTGTGTGTAAATTCCCAAACTGAGCACTCAGAATATCGATGGGATGGAAAATCTATAAGATTGCAATTGAAATCATCAAATAAATTCACCGTGTTTCTAAATTCATCGATTGAATCACTGATAGCTTTTGTGGTCGAAGGATCCGCTGGACGTTACCAAATCATAACATCAGTGTTGTTATTTATCTGCTAACTTATAGTATTTATATACAGTTCACTTCCTATCAATATTTATTTATTTATTTTTTATTCAACAATATAGTAAGTAGGTGTTCCTTATCTATTTTCATGTGTTTTGTAACCTTATAGGGGTTTCAAAATACATCTTCCGCTGAAATCAAGCAGGTAAAAGTACATAAATTAAGAATAAATCACTCTCTATCAGTAATCATGGATTTCATTGGTGGAATTACCGTTGATTTCTCATACCTCATTATGATTTGCTTAAATAGGTTTATTATTGTTTGAAACATAACTATGACATGTTGGAGCCGGATGACCGAGCGGGTTTACGCATGTATGAAATACATGTTGCACGGCAACTTAATAAACCGAGGATTTATCAAGTACTAATCCCAGCATAGGGGGGACTTTTAACTCTGACATGATTCCTCCGCCCTCCTCTCTGCGCTGGGAATATTTTTTTTTATTTATCCTATCATCACTGTCAGTACATTTTCTTATTGTTTCTTTCATCAGTGAAAATAAGCAAATCTCCGAAACTCCTAATTCACCGCGAGAATTGTGATAAAATCTTCACGCAAAAATGGGTTCACATGATCGAATCATAAAATCCTCGAGTATCTTGATACATATAATAGACTTTGAATATAAAGTTAAATTTCAAACATAGAAACATAAGGTGTGGTAACATACTTTGTGTGCGTATCTACTTCTAATAAGCTTAGCCATTTAGACGACTTTTCCTATTTCCTAAATTGATTTTAGTTTACATTTTTATTCATTGTTGTAGATTAATTGTTATTAATTCTGATTTAGTTCTTCACAAAAATATCATATCATATTTTATACAAATGTATCGCAAATATATTATTGGGATATATTTATAAAATTATTGGGACTGATAACAAAAGACCATGATATGACACTAAAAAAACTCTACATACGGCAGCAAACAAGCACTCGCGCTTCCAGACCGAGAAACTGCTATTCTGACTTCTCCAGAAATGATTTTCTTTCTCAAAAAGGAAATATCG